CATGCACACACAAGGCAACACTCTCCTTCTTCCCCCTGAAAGGAAAAAAAAAATCTATACTCACCTGAAGAGTACAATCTTCCAGGGCTGAAAGACATGAGAACAAGGTTCCCTCCCCCACAGAAAAGGCATTTTGGGGGGATTAGATGTAAGGGAGGGGCATGGGGGTGGGTAGAAAGCTTGCAGGCAGAGTTTTAAAAAAAGTAAAATCATCAGTTACTAAACAGATGAACTGGTAACATTATGGAGATATCACAGATGAGAAATGGGGTCTGGATTCTTCAGGAAAGAAATAAACAGGTAAAATCATTTAAACACACAATAAATGCAAGGATGAAACTTTTCCTGGGTTGTTACTGTAAATGAACTTAAAACATTTCCTGGGTTGTTACTTTAAGGTATAGGGAAGGAAGAAAGGGGAAAAAATACTTCTCCTTACTTTGTTTCTGTTGGCCAAACAGACACAAAATAAAGACTACCATCCCTTCACTCAGTTTTCTGGGCCCAACAAACTGAGCGAAGGCAATTTCTGCCAGTTTACTCTTTTCTTTCTTTGAACACTTTAAAATTCTTGTCTTTTGGATTGGAGACATCTTAGTTACAATTACCTTGAGGGTGCATAAAGACTTAGGCATACAAGACCAAGGAGAAAATAAGAGGGGGGAAAAAGAGAACTCTCAGGTTTACACATCCTAGTCATTCCCAGCACAAATTTGTTAAATTAGGGAAGGCCCAAATCTTAACAAACAAACCACATGGTTGCATAGAAGACAAAGAAAGAGACAAACAGACAAGAGAAAAAAAGAAACCCCAACATTTTCCCTTTTCTTTTAAGTACCTTCACGTAACCAAATTACTTTTCCTGTATTATCTTTCAGCAAAGCCCATTTCTCACATAATTTCCTTGCTCTCAGCCAAAATCTTGGCATCTAAGGAAATCTCCGAGGGCACTTTTGGCCACTCACAAGCTAATGCTTCCCATGACCCATTACATGCAGGGCTCACTTTGGCCTAGCTGGGTGTCACCCACCGTAAGTTTCAGGAAAAAAAAGATTCTGGAAAGGACTTCAATTCCCCCATGAAGTATTCGGCCCCTTTCTCTCGGGGAATCACATGGGTTTTGGGGATTAAAAAAGTAATCCTTAAGGACCTCTGCCCCTCTGCACGTAGTACCAGGCACTTCTACTCTTTTCACTCACAATAGGCCTTTGCTTTTTTGCTTTCACAGGACAAAAGCAACAGGAACAAAATTTTCATTCACTTTTCCATCCATTTCCACACACACTCTCCTTTCCCTAACAGAAGGTCCTGTGCTCTGGCCTGACCCTAATACTTTCCAGGCTCTCTTGGTAAAACACACAGAGGAACCAAGATCCAGCTGTGATCAGGAGAAGGATCCCACACATGCAGACATACACACATTTCCCATGCTCTTCCATGCTTTAAAATTAAACTTTAGATAATTAAAATTTAGAGGTACTCACCTTCTTTCCAGGCAGCCTTTGAGCTCAAACTCAAAACCCCTTTAAAACCTAGATCCAATGGTTAAGGCCAAGATAAAGTCCACCCACAGCCTCAATGGGGTCTGTGCCGGTATGGGAGGCTTACCTGGGCCATATCCATTGATTAGGCTAGCTTGGAGTCCCATCTGGGTCGCCAATTGATGAAAGAAATGTCCTTCTGGGTTTGGCTCCAAGTGGGGAAAAAGACACTGATGACATGGAGGCTGCTTGGAAAGATGGTTTATTGGTGGAGAGGACAGCATGGCTTGAGTCCTGAACAGAAAAGGTGATCACATGCTTCAATGTTGGTGGACAAGACTCCCATGGGCCCATGCAGGGGCAACTCTCTAAGATGTGTTTTGAATCCAGGTTTGGTTGAGTTCTCAGATGCCATATGGTCAGTTGAGTAAAGGGACAATATTATCATGCTTTTAATCCCATCCCCCCTTCTCCATAATAAAGGAGAAGCCTTATTTATGTAAAGTGGACTAGCTTAGCCTTCTTAATGGCCCATTGACAAAAGTGGGGATGGACAGGAAGCTACAGGCAGCTATTCTGTCTTTTAAAATATGTCTCTTTCTTTTCACATCCAGAGAAATATTCTGCCTTTTCAATATTTCCTAGGATATTTCATTTTTCTGGGAGAGGGCTGGGTGATAACACTATAGGAATTATATTTAACATCAATATAGCTTTTGTTCTCATCTTTAAAGTTTAACTTACCCCAAACATCATAGTGTTAACAATTTCTAATTTTTTATTATAAAATACACCGTAGTCTGCTGTTATCTATATTCTACAGTGCATTATTTTGTTTTTATAATGTAATAAAACAATTAATTGGGGGACAAATCTGCTTTTCAGTGTTCATAGAGCATTGTAAAAATTGAATCCATATTATATTTATATGTTATATGGAAGAGATTATATATAAGGAAGATTAGATGCTCCCCCTGGTGGCTAATATCTAAGAAACTACATTCTTAATTCAGTTTCAGTAGGATCAAGCTGAAAACCCAATTACATATCATCCAGGACAGCCTATTATGTAACTGTTCATTGTAACTCAGGATAGGCTAATTAATATGGTAGTATGATTGAATGAACTGTGAGAAACTTTATTTTTTATTAAATTCTATATATTTGCAAAAAACATTCAAATAATTATTTTCAATTCTATAACTACATTAGTTAGGAATCACTGTCATTCTGTAACTAGCACAAGGGATAATATATTTCAGGGAATCTGTAATTTACACTAGAAATGGTAATATGCAATAAGATCATATTTGTATTGTCAATTCTGATCAATTCAGGTCCAATATCTTACTCAATCTGGAAAATCAGTTTGATGCTTTAACTAATAAAATTACATCATTTGGAAATCCAGTTTGATTCAGGGAAAGATATTTTTTCCTACATGCACAGAAGATCTTTTAAATTATCAAATTGCAGTAAATTCAGACTGATTTAAAAACACAGTAAAATTCAAAGTGAATTTCCAGTTTCAATGAATCAGATACTCTTATTGCCATAATCTCATTCAGTAGGTATAAAATACCAATGTTTTGAAGGTTATGTGGGCAACCGAAGTGCTGAAATAAGGTGTTAATATTTTTTAAAAATAAATATTTTCCTTGAATAGGTGGCAACGTAACAACTGGGATGTTGATATTAAACTGACAAAAGAACATTACAGTATGGTAGGAGGTAACCTGGAAATCAATAATCCTGAGAAGTCAAGAGATGAAGGAACATATGTTTGCATAGCATACAATATACATGGAACTATAAGGAGCCGGGAAGCAACTTTAAACTTTGGTTGTAAGTTGTCTTTACATGAACTTTTACCTTTACACAAACTCTTTGAAATGGTGTTCAGTAGATTGTATGTTAGACTGTGTTTTTTCTCCGTGTCAAATAATATATGTGGGTATATGCATAATTTTGTATTTATTTATTTATTTATTTATTTATTTATTTATTTATTTATTTATTTATTTATTTATTTTGTCATGTTTCTGAGGTAGATAATGGAGGTGGTGACCCTTTGAGAGCTGTATGCAACAAAATTTCATTTTAATGTAGTGTACATTCAAAGTGACAATAAAACTATTCTAAACCTAAGTCTACTGACTTAATTTAGTTTGACTTATTGTCATGACCCATGCTGATTGGAACAGTATCAAAGCGACACCTTCTCTAAATGTTTTCTTATTTTTTTTTTACTGTGATTAGAGTGAGAAAAGTGAGTGAATATGAATGGATCATTTTCTTCTAGATGAAAAATATTTGGGGACATTTATTATATCTTCTAGACAAACCTAATCTGCTTATATGTTAATGATGAATTTGTCAGTGCTGGTCAATTACATAGCAGTTTATTAAAACAAACCTCGTGCTTCTATAAAATAGTAGATACCAAAATAATGATATTTTTGCAACATGACTTTAATAAAAAAAAATTCTTATTTCAGTTTTTTTTTACTAAAACTGAAAAGCTTCCCGAACAGTATTGCTTTAGGACCATTCTCACAACTTTCTAGTGCAAAGTTACCCTGACAATCATTGGTGGAAAACATGTCTTCATGATATATCCCTGCTTTCTTACTAGCCTATTGATAAGAAGGTATGATATTTAGATATTTTAGCCTCTAGGTATGGTTTTGTTTCCATCCACAAAAGTAGATCTCTCATGAAGACATGTTAGTGCTCCTGATATTGGGATTCAACATTGCTTGTCTGGAATTGAAGCTGTGAATTTGTTAACCGTGAGGAATAATGAGTTTGATTACAGATTAACAGAGTTGGAAGGGACCTTGTAGGTCATCTAGTCCAACCCCCACCCAAGCAGGAGACCCCACACCATGTCTGAAAGATGGCAATCCAGTCTCTTCTCGAAACTTTCCAGTGATGAAACTCCCACAACTTCCGAATGGAAGCTGTTCCATTGGTTGATTACTCTCACTGTCAGAAAATTTCTCCTTATTTCCATTATGCCTTGTCTGGCCTTTGGGTGCTTTGGAAAATAGCTTGACTCCCACATCTCTGTGGCAGCTCTTAAAATATTGGAAGACTGCTATCATGTCTCCCCTGGTCCTTCTCTTCACTAGACTAGCCATGTCCAGTTCCTGCAACCGTTCATTGTATCCTGGTTGTTCTTCTCTGCACACTTTCTAGAGTTTCAACATCTTTTTTATAGTGTGGTGACCAAAACTGGATTCAGCATTCTAGGTGTAGTCTTACTAAGGCTTTATAGAGTTGTATTAGTACCTCACTTGATCTTGATTGTATCCCTCTGTTAATGCAACTGACTTTTTTGGGTGCTGCTGCACACTGTTGGCTCATATTTAATTGGTTGTCCACTAAGACTCCAAGATTCGTCTCACAGTTACTGCTATTAACTCTGGCTTCACCCAGTCTATATATGTACTTTTGATTTTTTCTTGCCTAAGTGTAAGATTTTACTTTTCTCTATATTGAATTTCATTTTGTTAACTAGGACCCAGCTATTTTCCAGTCCTCTGGTAGTTCCCTGGAGCTCTGGTTTTTTTTTAAAGATGTGGTACAGTGATTCTGAGATGACCTCTGCCAGCTCCTTTAGAACTATGGGATGTAATTCAACAGGTCCCAGTGATTTGTATTCATCAAGATCAGACAGGTGTTGTCTTACTATTTTTTTGCTTATTATTTCTAGTCTATCTTTTACAGTTACGTTTTTGGTAGGTTGACTGTTCTGTCCCCCCCTTCACGGCTCGTTAACAAACGCAGGCAGGCAACTTAAAAGGAAGTCTTTCTTTATCAGTTCT